GATTACTACCAGCGTGCAGGGGGGCAGGGAGGCAGTTTGCCAGATCGCTTCAAGGTTTTTCTGAGCCTCAACCACCTGCCTACCCCTGGCCGTTTCGAACTGGATGAGTATCGTTAAACAGTGCGTTCGTGTGATCACTACTGCGTCATGCACGTTAACCCCCCCCCCCCCCCCCCCCCCGGGCTGGTGGTCACAATTACTGATCTGCACACGTCACCCTGCACTGGCAAATAATCCAGCACATCCGGGACACTAGCCGTCCCATTTAATTACCTGACCAACTTCGCGCAGTCTAAATATCACACCCGAAAATTCCTAACCTAATTTCGTGAAAACCAATGAGGCGTGAAAACGTTAAGCGCCGTTCCCACTCTTGGGACCGAGTAAGACCGAGAGAGACCAGACCGGTTTTTAAGCCTTTGGCGACTTCTACGGATTGGATGCGCTGCAGCGGAGCTGGCCCTAAGAGACCACAAGAGGCTTAAAAATCGGTCTGGTCTCTCTCGTTCTTACTGGGTCGCAAAAGTGTGAACGGGCATTTATTTGAAACTGAAACTGTGGCGGAACATGAAAACCGTACTTCGAACTTTGCTCACTTGGACTGGAAAGAAATTCGAAACCTAAGTTTTTATGGGTTTTTTTTCCGAATTTAGCGCTAAAAGAGAATGGAAACCTTCGAACTTTTCGAACTTTATGTAGAAAGAAAATCGAAATCTTCGAATTTATCGAACTTTATGTCTATAAGGGTTCGAAACGCTCGAATTTTTCGATTTCAGATCAAAGACATTCGAAAATTCGTATCTCTCGAATTTCTAGTTAGGGAAGTTCGAAATATTCGATTTCTCGAACCTCGAGTAAAAAAAGTATTCGAAATAATCGAACCCGAACTTTTAGAAACCGTGAAAGTTGCGAGTTTTTCGAATTAGAATCTCCGTACGGTCGAAAATATCGAAACTTTTCGAATTCGAACATCAGTTCGGTTCGAAAACATCGAAACCTTTCGATCGAACCTCGGGTGGTTCGCGGCATCCCTATTCAAAATAGCTACGAATAGTCATTGATAGTCATTAAAAGCCATTTTGAACCGAAATCCGTCATATAATTAGGAAATAAAATCAAATAGCAAATAATAGCCATTCAAATCCAATCTGAGACATGCCTCAAAAATATTACGAAATGGCCACTTACGGTCATTAACGTCTATCACAAGTGGAATTATCTAATAAACAACTGCTTGGGTCTATATGCCCCGAAATAGCTTAGGATATGGCCCAGAGCCATTAATAGCCCTTGGAAGGCAATCTAGTTTGTACTCGTCCAAATAACTCAAATGTACAATCCAATAGTCATTGCAGTCATTAGAGGCTAACCAGGCCCCCAAAACGACAGGTAATACTGAACGGGACACTATTTCTACTTCCTTATAAATACTGGCTCTTCGTTAAACAGCCAGTGTAGCATTTACTGGCTGTAATTACTACGTCGTGTAGCATTTCCAGCCTCATTGGAAGTGAATCTCATATAATTTAAAATAATGACCCATGGAGCAATTACATATTTGAATTGCTCTGCTTTATTTCCAACTGTAAAGAGCCAGTCACTACAGGTAGTAACAGCCATTACCTTTAGAGCGGGGTATAAACAGTCTAATTACTAGAAAGTGACTAATTGCTAGTAGGTCATTTATACCAGGTGTATTGCATAGGTTCCTATAATCTCAATACTTACTGCTAATATGAAGCGCACCTCAATATTAGAAAAACGTCTATGAGCTCTTGCTCAATTGAAATCGGCACACAAATTTGCCGTTTATTCACAACTCCTGATAGTGTGAAGAGAAAAAAATAGTGTAGGGAACGACTGTTATGCTTTTAATCTCGAGCTGATAGTTTACCATCCCACACCGAGAGATGGCAGCACTGCTTTGTCTCCCGACAACCCCATGTATTTTTGCTCCAGTTTCCAGTATTGGTAGTCAATGGTATTTGACGTCGATCATCTCCACCGACGCCACGTTTTTCAGCAAACAGGCAGCTATGCGCAGGCGCAGTCTGATCCTATTCTTGCATCGTTTACCACACGATAGATGGCGCACAGCCCCGACCATTACATGCACTAGGGGACTTCCCCCCCGACAGGGTGTCCACTCTCCCCGCTCCTCTACATGCTCTACGTGGCTGGGATGGAAGTGAGGCTAATTTAGTCAAGAGTGGGCTTCTCTTTAACCCACCTAGAGGATGGCGAGGAGGTGAACTGGGTGCTGCCAGGGCTCAGACAGGGACAGGGTTTTCAGGGCTCAGACAGGGGAAGATATGCAGCGGCTATTAAATATATGCACTGCGGAGGCTCCAGTGCGACGCCTAAACTTCAACGCAAAAAAAAAAAAAAAATTTGCGCGACACGCTTTGCTGTACACTTAAGTTGGGCGACGAGGAGGTGCCACTTCAAGACTCGTACAAATATTTGGGTGTCATTCTCGCCAATACGCCGGAATACCTCCGAGAGCATCACGCTCATCTTCGCCAGACAGCAGAGCGAGGGGCCAACCTCCCCCGAAAAAAAAAGTCTCTGGAGCTTCAACAGGTTCCTAGTTACACGGGAAGTGTGGAAGGCAGCAATGTTTCCGGGCTTGACTTTCGCTAATGCTGTAGCGTGCGTCCCTGGTGAATTACAAGAAGTTCTGGAGCGACGACAACGAGCAGTAAGACGACAGGCTTTGGGCTGCCACGGAAATGTGGCTAACAAAGCCGTCCAGGGAGACCTAGGATGGTCTAGCTTCGAAGCCAGGGAAGCCAACAGCAAGATAAGCTACGATGCACGACTCCGCCACATGGATCGAAACCGATTGGCCAAAAACCTTGCTTTACACATTCACATGACTGGGACACGAACAAGGTGTCAGAAGCGCCTCTATAAATTATAAAAAAAGCATGGCTTCTTTACAGAACCCTTAGTGGTACTGACGGGTGAGAGGTTGGAGTTTAAAATGAGAAGCAGAGTACGTGAGAGGGAGCTCTTCCAGTGGTCTGAAGCCGCTCAAGCGAAGCCAGCGCTGCTGGTGTACAGTAAAGACAAGCAACTGATCGCGGCTGAAACCCTGTTCTGTGACAAGAGTTTGGGCAGCCGCCTTCTGGTCGAGGCGCGAGCGGGTGCTCTACGAACTCTGGTATACTGGGAGTGGTTTGACACCAAGGTGGTTTCCACGATGTGCCGCGCGTGCAGAGAAGAGCCTGAGACAGTTGAACACCTTGTGCTCTATTGTGAGTGCCTGCTGCCAGCCCCACTGGTAGTTCACCGGCTTCACTCAGAGGCGATGCTAGCATGTGCACTGGGTTTTAAAACGACGGTTGACTCAGACAACCTGTATACGGGCGGGGCAGACGACCCTCCACAAGACAGGCATGACATTTCTACCATGAAGTGCGTGCGAAGGACGGAATCGCGTCGGGAACAGTGGTGGAAGACAATTTAGAAAACAAGCTGATAGGTTTTTTTGGCTAGGGCACGAAGACTCTTCGAGCTCGCCCGGTATAAAGGGAAAAGACGCATCATCATCATCATCATCATCATCATCATCATCATCATCATCATTATAAAGTTCGGCATTTTCCGTCACGTCGCTAATTATTCAACAAAATGTGGGTCAAAATATTCTTTAAAAATACTTTTAAGAAACTTTCGCCAGCAATTTATTGTTTATGATCGCGGCGCTGGTGAGGTAGGCTCTGATCCAATAGGCGATGTGGATTTGGCTTGCCTGCCGTGGAACCGCGGATGCATCGTAGTGAAAACGCAGAGAGCTTTCAGAAGAAAAAAAGGTATAAAGGGTCCGCTTTCTTTTAAAAGTTCTATATATAAAAAAATATTTTTGCTCTCTTCTTTTTTGTTTTGGTTTTCTTTTCACACCTTTTACGGCGTGCAGTGAATGAAACTCGAATTCAAAATCGTTTCATGGTTCCTTTAAACTGAAGCTTCACGAGTCCTCAGAAGAATAGGCTTTCGGTGAACAAACCAGATTGCGCTTAATAAAAAAAAACTGTCACAAAAGTACACATTTATACTGTAAGCATATACAAAAGAAAAACAAAGAAAAAACAGCTAGATGAACAACCGCTGCAGAAGAACAAGAAAAAAAAGGTTTATTTGCATTGTACTGCGTTCAGAACGGTCAAACTACGGTAAATTGTGTAAAAGCATGGAGCTTATCTTTTTGGAGAAATTGCATCGAGAATCCTCTAATTTTAATTATGGCGGGTAAGGAAGAAGAGATAATTGTTTTAAAATATTGGAGTTCCATTTGTATTGTTGTAATGGCAACCGCGAAGCAGATCCGCTTGTTTTTCTCAGAAAATGAGCGTGAACGTTTTGACTTGAATCTCCAAAGTGACGGGGCTTTAAGCGTTGGCAACCGCCTAGCGAATGCGGTTGAAACGCCTGTGCGAATAGGCGTTTTTAGCAGGCCATCAACAGATTATATATATGGCCACAGTACGACTCTTGGTGGGCGCTAGAGAGCATGCTTCGAAGTCTTATTGCGAGCTAACGGTAGCCATGCCGCACGGCAACTCTGTGCCAAAACTGCCTAATGAGGCATTAGGGGTTTTGTGTACACGGATGTACTCTCGATGACGTCACTGCATCACCTGACACTGAGACGCCATCAGAAAGGTGCGCTGAATGCGTTGCATTTATAGGTGCTCTCTGAACTGTCACGTGACACCGACGTCACACGGTGGTGTCACCTGATACTCTGGTGTGAGACTTTGATGTCCTGTGGCACCATGACGTTAAATGACATCACAGTGTCGTGTGATAATGACGGCTTTATATGTTTCCAAAACCCTCGCAACGTCCCATTCAGTGATATTCTTACTGTAACTTCAAAACGAGGAATGCTAAGTGACCCTACAAACGGTAGGCATCAGAACGCCTTTGGGAAATGCCAAATTGAAAGGTAATTTTTTACTGACTCATTAACAAGAAAGGTAGCCATTTCTTACCTGTTCGTACCCAACCATCGGGAGTAATTGTCTGCGATGTAGCTTCCGGGTGTCCATAATAACCCTTCATAGAACATGGCGTCTTCACTAGCACTTCTCCTTCTTCGTTTGGTCCAAGTACTTTTCCACTCTTGACGTCAACAACCTGATGACAACCGATATCAATAGTGGCCAGCATATCGACAGTGGAGAAGTGATATCAATAGTTCCGAGCTGAAATTTGACTATCCGGACACATCGCGTACTCATCACTAAATGCAACCGAACTCACCTTAATTTGTACCATCGCGGACGGAAATCCAATGCCATGTCCACTGGTCGCGTCCAGGGGAGGGTTGCATATCCCGCCGACTTCCGTGGATCCGAAAATGTCTTTGACGATGTCCAGATCAAAGGACGGTTCGATTTGCCTTAATATTTGGGGCGTGATCTTTGCGCCACACACAATGACAGTCGTTAGACTGTCCAACTGAATTCCTCGCTTCTCAATCGCCTTGGCGACCAGCAGAATCCAGTGTGGAGTCCCGAACACCGCTGTCACCTGCGCCAAGGTGAGGGGAGAGGGATTCGAATCATTCGGTTGCTCAAATTGTATTCCGAAGGGAGCTCGCATTCCGTATTGGCGAAATGAATTGTACACATGCGGGTCCAGGCGCACACTACTTTATATACATTGGAATGTTTTGCGCCCTATGATCATTCTGCGAATACATCATAAAACGACAGTGTGCATAACACTGTCTGAAGTGTTTTGCTTGCCTGTACTGTAACATTTGTCCTAAAAACACTGTCTAGAGACATGATCCAAGCATGCGTATGCATGGTACCAAACATGTTTCAACATGCATGGGGCGCGTATCCACATATATATTTGGCATTGTGTGTGCTGTGAACGCCGTGTCTTTTGTATGCATGTATGTGAGCAGTGGGACCGTTGGGAAAAGAGCTGTTCCAAAAACCTACACCATATTTCAAGTAATATACCTGTTTTTAATCGTGCTCATGACTGAATACCCTTCATTTTTGAAGAGTATAAAAATGTTATGGAAAAGAGTGATATGAAGAAGTGATACGGGTACACCCTATCTGAAGGGAGTTCGCAGCACTGATCCCCCGCTTTAAAGAGAAACTGCAAATAAAAAAAAAAAGTTTTTTTTTAAACAGACTAGATGGGACAAGCATGTCAAGAAAACAATTTTTCGGCGAGAAAAAACATTTTTTACAGCAATATTTATTGCGTGAGACTGATTTGAGTTTGCGGCTATTTTGCCGGTTTTAAATCGCGCCACGTAGTTGGGATTCCGTGACGTTGAATCCCAATCGGCAGCTATACTTCTCATTGGCTAAAAGTTTAATTGACAGCTTAGATCTTGGTTGTTAAACCTTTGTTATATGTTGCAATTTCCTTTTGAACAGCATATTTTTACGTTTAAAGAATAACCCATGTGATGAGAGTTATTATTCTTTACAAACGGAAGTGCCCGTGTTTACAAGACGGGCACTTCCGTTTGGATTCATACCATAACAAGCAAAAGCTTCGCCATTCTTTCATGGCCGCCGAAGTCTCCGCTACTGCCTGTCTCGCCTACCTCGACTAATCGTTTCGCCGATGTGATCAGTGTTTCGTGCTGACCCAGGTGCTTGAGTGAGACTTCTTGAAGTGAAGTAGTGTGTGCTTAGCAGCTGTCGCAGGTTGATAGGAAGCGATGCGGGGTTTTCGCTTTCATAGCGCGGTTCTTTCGTTTTCCTCTTTGCCTGCTTAGCCTTTCTTTTTTTTTTTTTTGCGTTTGCAAATGTTGACTTTTCGGAGATGTCAGATGAGTGATCCCGACAGCGAGCCTTCCAGCAGCCATGTCGCCCCGAAAGGAATGTTATCTGGCTCGAGGCCATCGAGCGTTGGCATAGCGACAAACGCGTCCAGTTACGTTCTTGTCATACCGCTCCGGAGGCCGTCGAGATTCGCACCGGGTGCCCCGGGCGCATCGAACGTCCGCGACCAGACGCAGCTGTTACGTAAAAAAAACCTGGCACAGCCAGGTGATTACGTAATAGTTGTCCGCAGAAGCCCTCGGACGTTCGAATTCTGCGTTAGTGGACAGATCTTGTTTCTCGGCATTCAAACCATCTTACGTAAGTTGTTTGAATGAATATGTAGTGTTATCGTAAATCTTCGCTTGTGATCGCGGCCTTGTAGATTATCGTATTCGTTTTGCTGGAGAGACGCAAACGACGGGCATAACAAAATCAGTTGCATATTCCGCATATCTTGCAAAAGCACTTCCCCAGTCACCCTGCGAAAAGTGCGGAACACGGAGTCCGCACCGTCCCGACTTCCCAGTCGTTTACCTGCTTTAGAGCAGTTTGTATCTGCTAGTAGTTATGTCTACTGAAACTTGAAACCGGGTGCAGTGCCAGAGAGCAAGGAGACAAAGCTTGGAAAGCTTGCTCGCCCTCCCCAATTTCTGAACTTTCAAGTGATTGTACCGTAATAACTGCACAACGCCTCTTCCCAAAAGAACAAAAAAAAAAAAAGAGTATTACGTTCATTACGTAAAAAATGGTCTCAGTTCATGCACCACTGTGCAGGTAGGAAATCTTGCCCAAATTTATTCACACCGCACGATGAGCGGAACACGTCGCTGTGAAAACGCAGTCCAACACGAAGTATAAAAACGGCAGATTTAGGACAACAATTCGAACTTCATTGTTCAATTAAAACGACGTAATTTTGTTGAAAACGCCCGCAGCTTTTTACTCGCGGTATGTGTCGGGAATCCTCCACATTTTGAAAAGGAACGAAGGGAGATTTACTTTTAAAAACGCTCGCCTCGACCTCTTGGACCAGTTTGACTGGATCAGCTGACGACGACGGAACTGAACCCGTTTAACCTCAACCCCACAACAGCCAATTTGCGCTCCGTGTTGGGTACATACTTCCAAGCACTGCACCACACACACCACGAACCTTTCAGTTCTTTGTCGCATCGCCGTGTTGCACCAAACAGAACGAGATCGCCGAAGTCAACGCAGCGCTGTCGTGAACGTTGGCTCGTGGTTGCGCACTCGTGGACCCTGTGACTCCCTTCGCTTTCAAAGCACACACGACGATTACGAATGATACTTTGCGTCTTCCGGGAACATCACAGGGGCGCTTCTCCGGTCACGTATTCGCTATGTGCTCGCAAACCCCGCAGCCTCTCGTGTACCGTCAAAACAAAACAATACCGGCGCCATGTTTAGCGTGCGTTGTTGCCAGATCTTACCGTAAGTCGAGACGCTGCCATAGAGTAATATACACAAGGTAAAGAGCGGACACTGCCATAGGCCCCAGCGGCCCAGATAGACCAGTGACAGGTAGCGCTCTTAGCGGGCGGTATTAATTGTAATCTCATTCCGTTTCCGGTCAAGTTAGTTTCGGTTTCGGTTTGGACGTTCTGCTCCAGTTCTCCGGTACCCTTCTCTTCTTTTTTTTTTTTGTTTTTTTGGTGTTTTTTTAATACTGACGCATTTTTGCTTAATTTTTATAATAGAGCCCATGAAAAATGTGTTAAACAGTGTTTCAACTGACTTCACAAAGCAGAGGTATATATATATTTCTTGCTCTTTTTCTATTGGAAAGCATTGAAGTTACACAATCGCCGCATTGACTCCTGGCTGGTGGAGCATTTTGGGGTCAAAAACAGTAAGTGGTTCGAACACATTTTATTGGACCACATTCATGTATACATGATTTACTTCAGAAGCTCTGTATGTTTTATACGAAAGAGATCGATACTCACAAAAATAAATGATTATGAAGGACTTCGGCATATCGTACACTTCGTAATAGATTCTTAGCGGAACCAAGTTAACAAAACCTTTCCACGGACAACCTGCTGTATGATACATTTACTTTCACGCCGACTCGGGTACGGGACGTAAATGCAAAAATAAATAAGACATCGCTATCATTACCGGTCATAAGAGTATAATAACAGTGTGAAGCACACACCGGATAGCACAAATTCCCGATTTTCGGCAAATATAAAAAAACACCAATTTGCATAGCATCAAACTCACTGCGGGCGAGCCATCACCAAACAATGAGAACTCTATTCGAAATCTGACAAGATTCAACGTCCCTAAACATTACCCGAAATTGTTCAGAAATGAAATATATCTTCAGAAAAAAGTGGTTGAAGAACTATGGACAGTGGATACAAAAGTGAACACATTTTCTTTCAAATATTTTTAGCCTCTATACACTATTTTCTATCAAAATTTTGTAGAAAGTGGACAAATATTTTTATTAGGGAACCGCGATACACATTCGCTGGAAAAAGGGGAAACAAATATTTGGAGAGCAAGCTGCACCGCCCACTTAATAAGCACTTTTTGTTTTTGGTTTGGCAACCGCCTCTGCTAATACACTATTAACAGTTAAACTTGTCTCGTTCTTACTAGCAACTGAAGAGTGCAACTGAACTTTGTCCATATTCCAATTAAGCAATCAAACATGTCAACACAAGCGTATTCTGTAAAACAATTTAAAAAACCCTTTGTGGTAGTCTACTGGGCAAAGGCTATAACCACCCAAACCTCAAAGTGTGCTATACAAGGCGGCACACACTCCTCGAACTTGTGTCACACTCTCTATTATAGGAAGAAAGTGATTTTCTAGCTGCTGAATGAAATGAAAGACAGCTTGTGATGGTATTACTAAGTTCCCGAAGAATTTTCCAGGCACGTGGTATGCTTTAGGAACAAGACAGTACTGGTGAGGCCTGGTCAAGTTATTAGACTCATCCGATAGCAGCTGAGAACAGCCACAGCTGTAAGTTGTCTGTTCAAGCAAAAGCTTGATCAAATAGCCCCAAACGTAATAAAAAAGTGGACGAGTCATCAATTATGTTAGACCTGATGTCTGATGCCAGCTCAGAAATATCCTCTAGTGGCGGGAAGTTATCAATTGGAAGACATTTCACGATGTCTGAAATTAAACTTTCATGGTGCGAAGCTATTTGCAACTGCTTTAGGAGGTCAGCCTTGTCATCCTCTACGTTTTCATTGTCCGACAGTTTGAACAGTTTCTTTATCCGGAGGTGTTTTAGTCCTGAGGTGAACTGATGCACATTTGTGTTTGTGTAGCAGCCCAGCATTTGTCGTATATAGCTCCAAAAACGTTCTTAAGTGTGTCTTGCTGCAGGCGTCGTGTAAGTAAGAACTTAAAGTCATGGCTGCTTGAGAGCTCATCTCAGAGAATGTGGACACTTTTTATAGTAACTTGCCACCCAATGATGGCTTATGGCTGCCTCCTACTTTGGAACTGCCATGCTGAAATCCATCCGAGTTACTGGTGGAGAAAATCAAGTATTTCAGATTCTCCCTTCAGAATGGCATGACGCAACTTCTGCCCTGTCTTCTTGAATTTTTTTAGCTATTTAGACAATCAAAAAGTATGCACATCTTATCACAGAAATAGGCTGTAGCCATGACTGCCTCAGGAAGATCCATGGCATAAACAACGGATTTGATTGGAAGAAAGAGTGAGGCACTCAGTAC